GAAAAATGTACTTCTATCTGACCAACTTGTTTTAAAATAACTGGAACTCTCATGAGATGGAGTAATCAGGGTCAATAGGTAGGATCCAGAGTGCAGGCTTCAGATTTCCAAAGTAATTTTTCTTTTTACTGATAGTCTATAATCAACTCTTTATTTTTCAGGGGATAAGAATCTTTTCATGTCTTTAGTTTTGGCATGTCACTGTTAAACATTTTTAGTAGTTTTTCACTAGGGGTGAAGAAATAAATTACTATTCAAACCAATTGGTCATGTAGCTCTGTTACAAGGATTCAGTCAAGGAGAACAAAGATTCAGACCCCTGGCTAAAGTATGATGTGGAAATTATCTTTGGCTTTTAATTTTGCATGTGCTCCTTATCCTTTAGTATCAGGGAAAATATAAAGATGAACTGACAAGAGGCAACTTCCTGCAGGACAAGTACTTAAGGACCTAGACATCCTCAGTGGCCAGCCAGGACACAACTGTGGTGCACAAGTGGTGCCAGTGTCCTACACAGTGACACCTGTCATCACTTTTAAAAACTTTTGGAAACTATGTCAGTCCCTGAGAGGGGAACACCTCCAAGCTAATTTGGGGGAACCCTACTGAACACAAAGGGTGAGAGACCTGTCGCCAAGTAATTTAAAATCCTTTGAAAGGACTCAGATAAAATTTGTGTCATATTAGAATTTAAAACAAATGAGATCTGAAGACAGAGGGCAAATAGTAACCAAAGTAACACTCTAGGACCATGCAAAGCCTTGTTTAAGGAGTGTTGGCACCAATCAAAGCTTGTACACAATGTTCCCTGCCACTGTGAAACTGTAGCTGATACTTCTGCTCCCAATGGGATGATAGGCCTTGGCCACTGAGCTGCCAAGAGGAAGCCAGCAGACTCTGCCCTAGGCTTGCCTTTATGGGCGCCACCACATCCATGAAATAAACTGAGAATATGAAGTCATTTTCTATTATTGCTGACATTACTAACAAAATGCCAATTGGTCTTGTTACCATTGAACAAGCTATAGAGGAATTTCAAGTGGAAGATTTCCAAAAGATAAAACAAAAACAATTTAAAATAAGATTATATCTTATGTTCAGTTAGAAATTCTTCATTTAGAACATGAAGAGGTCTTAATTCCTATTCACAGAAAAACACAGAATTAGGATATTTTGTATCTTCTGCATCATTTGTATCTATGTAAAGTAGGGCTGGCAGGGACAAGAGAATCCCCTTGTAGGTTGCTCAAATGAACTATTTTCAGATACCAACTTGGTTTCTTTTCTCTAGGTTATGTGGCTTCATATCTCTCTGGCAGTGAGTGTCTTTCCTCAATTTCTTCTTTCCCTTCTGGACCACCTATGGATATAACCTACTTCCAGAGACTCCCAGATATAAACACAGGTGTTAAACACATCTGCATTATTGCACTGGGTGGCAGCAATGGCCATATGGTGGGAGTAACACTATTGTAACACCATACCCCTTCGTGGAGCCAGCTTTATTCACATTTTTTGTTTAAATTAAAATATGCAAATTGCAAGTAAACATGAAAAACCACAGAGCTGTATTTTGTTGTTTGATGTTGAGGACTCTTCAGATACAGAGCTCTGAAGCCAACAAGAAATGTAGATGGCTAAGTCCACATAAACTAGGAGCACACAATAGCTAAGACAAAGGTAAAAACAGAACCAGACAAGCAGCTTCCTTAACTAAAAAGGACAATCCAGGGATTGCTAAATCAGAGTTTGTAATTGTCTTGTAGGATTTCAAATAATCCTTGTAATTTTAAAACACAAAGAATGACAAAGCTGGTGAAATATCTCAGGCATCTATATATTATCAAGATTTATATATCTAGTGTTGCTTACTTTTTTGTGCCTTTAAGTAGCCATTCAGCATATTTTGAGATAGACAATTAGAAAGAGGACTGTTCTCTAAGTTTGCTAATATCAAAATGTAGCCTGACTTTAATTTTAATTTTTCATTCAACACACATTTATTGAGTACATATTATGTGTGAGGCATTAGTGAACAATGTAAAGTCCCTTTCCTTAAATGTATACTTTAGTGGGATGAGCCAAATGAAGAGATAATAATCAATTTACAAATATGACTAAGGTAGGGCTGGCACGGACAAGATAATCCCCAAGAGAATAAGTGTACAATTCAGCACTCAATGAATGGGACGGTCAGCCTGGTCTATCTCATAACAGTTAAGTCTCTGTAGTATCTACAACAATGAATAAGGCAGTAATCTGCCAGCAAGGATCATAGAATTTATGGGTTAACAGATCACCAAGTTTCAATTTTTGGTAAAAAGGATCATTCAGATATGGCAAACTGCAGTTATAATTACAGGATTAGGTTGTATTCTTATTATGGTCCATTTCAAACTGATATGCCATGCAGTACAGAACACTTAGGGTGTTGATTTCATGTAAATTGAATACATAAATAAAGTATCTAAAGAGCAGAGCATTGTGTTTTTCATGGTGTTTCCTAAGACTGTTTCCAAAGGGATTTCATGCTTCAAAGTTATTCTTTCTCTCTAGGTCCAATGAAATCTGACACAGAATTGAAAACACAAAGCTATCCAATCATAGTTAATTGCCCCAACAGCTACTATTGCAATTTTAGTTTTAATGATTATATTTTCTGACAACTTCTGCATATACTGTGCTCATGTTTGCTGGTTGGCTTAACAATTAGGATCAGAAACCTAAGAAAAAAGAAAGAAAACAGCACTAATATTAACAAAAGAGTCTCTTTCCTTTTTTGAGTGTTTTTTTCCCAGGAATTTATTATTATTATTATTATCATCATCATCATCATCATCATCATCATCATCATCCAGGATCTGTGAATTCTCAAGACCTATACATACTGACTTAATGGCAGGATTGCCTAACCTGAGAAATGGTATGTCACTGAGACCCAGAGGATTTGGTTTCATTGTGCAGGAGGAGTAATGCTGCCAGAGACTTCTCACTTTATTTTCTTTGGACCTCTGCTGCCAAGTTTCTGATTCACACTTAAAGAGTCTTCCCCTTGCTCTTTAAAATGAATAATCCTGGAGACAGTCAGGTTATTGCATACTAGAAGAACACTTTGACACATCCTCTGACAAAAAAAAGAGACAAAAATGAAGTCATGCTAAATCCTATGACTCAAGGAGTCGGTACATATTATCATCTTTCTATCCCTAGATGTATTTCCAGAATAAGTGTACAATTCAGCATACAATGATATTTGAAAAGTAGGAAACATAGGTTGTTTTTGGTTTATGACAATAGCAATCTTGGTTGGTTCTGTCAGGAGCTGAACAAGAGATAAGGTTTCCAGGGCTAGTATTTGATGTGGGTAGTGACATGGGAGACAGCAAGCTGGGAGTGGGGAAGCTAGTCAAGGTGTGCTAGGAGGTGCTTCCTTCACTGAGGGCAACTGGAGCACAGCCTTCTTGGGAAGTGTGCGATGCAATGGACTATATGCCTCTAAGCTACACACCCAGAGCGAGCCTGCTGGTGTGTTTACACACCAGCTCCCAGCAGCTGTTGGTTGAGGCTTGCTTCTGGGTGAATGAATCCTCCAGTGCTCCCAGCTTCTCTGTTCCAGAGAGAAAGCTCTTAGGCACAAAGAAAGGTGCAGGTGCTCCCAGAAAGTCACTTCAGTTGAGGGTATATGGATGGGGCAGTTTCTAAGTGTCAGGTAGCTGTACAGTCAGGGTATATAGGAAGTACTAATTAAAAAGTTCTCTCTCGTTTACTTTTTCATTTTTCTCTACTACTGTCTACCAGTGTGCTGTGTCCTGTTTCTGATTTCTCATGGTGGTATATAATCACACTTTATTGGGGGTGAAAAAGACCTTAACAGGTTTGACCTTAGGGTCCACTGCTGCAGTTGGTCCTGATGGCCCAGATATTCTTACTATTTCTCCTTGATTACCCATCTAGATTCTTCTCATCTGCAACTAGCATTTCTGAGGTTCAGGTTGCTTACTCCATGAAATGACCCAGACCTCTGCCGTGTGTGATCTGGTTAACTTGCCTTTGTCTGAGTATGACAGCTGCATCCCCTTCTCCCTTAGTCTTTCCTGTTTTAGTTAGTGGAACCACCACTCCTCACGTACACAGTTTAGTATCTTCCAGTTATTTCTCTCTCACGGCCCTTGCAAATCATGTCAATTCTTCAGTCAACAAATTCCCAGCTTGATCACTGTGCTCTACCTGACTCATTATCCCCTAGAGCTGACCACTGTCCTTTCTTGCCGAGATTGCTGCAGTCACTCCCAAACAATGCTACTTTTCCTCTCACCACTCCATGATTATCCTTAGCCAGGGAACAAAGCGGGAAGAGATTGCGCTAGCTTTATGCCTGCACAGCACCAGGTCCAAGTGTTCACTCAATATTCGTATTCCAGTCACCTCTGTAATTTCCATGGTATCTTGATATCTCTATGTCATCTTGTCTTTTAAGGCTTTAACAGGAGCCATTGAATTCTCAAGGGACCCTATGGGGTTGATCCTCCTGACTTGGTGGGCCATATGGACCTGCAGCAGTTCTTTGACCTGGTGCATTGTCCTAATGTGGTGTATGTAGTCCCTTAATGTACCTGTCCTGATCCGGTGTAGTCCCTTATGTACCCCTTGACTCTTGCAGTGCTTTAACTCAGTGCAGCTTTTCGACCCTGTGCTGCCCCCTGACCTGGTGTTATTACTGGGTGCAGGCCCATCCTTATGAACTGCGGATCCATAAACGGTCTGTCATCCCACGGCCTCTTTGAAAATACCATGGGGCAAGGAAATGAAAGGTACACATGGCACACTCTTTGAGGTTACGCGAGGCACGCTCCTGTGCAGACAAAATGCCAGTTGGCGTGCAAGCCGGCAGCTGGGTCCCTTGGAAAGCAAGGCACACTAGCTTTCAGCTCTCACGGTGTCCACCTTCTGCAGCAACCCAGCCCTTCCTCTCCTCGACAGGATCAGCCTATCGAAGACTCGGCGCTCGACTACTGGGCGGATCGATGTGCTCGGCGCTCGCGGCGGGCGGAAGTGTGGCGCCGGCGGTTGGGCGGCAGCGGCCCGGAGCTACTGGCGAGAACTGCTCGGACCCCTGTCTTTGAGGCTGCAGTCGGCGGCCACAGACCGACGGGAGGTATGTGTGGGCCTAAGAGATCCTGGCGGAGGGCGCACCGCGGATCGCACTGTGAGGCCGAGTGGAATTCGCGGCCGGCCTGCGTCGGCCCGAGCCTTGGCTGCGAAGGGCTGGGGGCCGCGCGGCCCCGGCCCACCCGCGGAGGGCACCTGCAGCCAGGCTCCGCGCCACCTGACGCCTGGGCTCTACAGCAGTGACCCCTACCGGCCTGGGTGCCTCGGGCCCACCTGCCCCATTGTGCCTCTGTGTGGTTGTCACTGGCAGGTCTGAGTTTACTGGTGAAAAGTGAACGCGAGGCACATTTTATCTGTTTGCTTAAGTATGCATCCACTTAGGGCTCTAGGACGCTTACTAGGTGCCTGCAACTATCTTGGCGTTTGCACCTATTTGATCCTTACAAGGATTGGGTAGGTGATATTAGCTTATCCCATTTTACAGATAGGAAAATGGCGACTCTGGTTAAACAACGAGCCTGAGTTCATATATAGTTTCTCCAGTGATATAACTATTGTTGAGACGCACAGCCTCCTGGAAGCCTGATGATATGTGTGACCTAGTATCTCAAGATTTTGTAAATAGGCACTTCTTTAATTCCAAGAAACTGTTCTTGAGAGAATTTGTTTTTAAATTGTTATTTTTAATTTGCTAAAGATGTATGAGAAATTTTGTTCAAGTTTGATATATTTATGAAACTGTTAGTCTGTTCACATTCAAAAGCAAAGTCATCCACACCTTAATTAAAACATTTGGGTATCCTATAGTGAAAAGCTAGAGTAGAGAGTATGTGGATCCATCTCCTAATGCTTAATAATATTTTGTTTATAAATGTTGGTGTGTGCTGGTCTAGTCTATGTGTAACAGACTCCTTTAATGAGAAAGGAATTGAAAGCCAAAGTCTTCCCAAGGATGATTTGTGTGTGAAAAGTTGGTGAATCACGGGTTGAGATAGAGAAGATGATGTATGCTTAGTATTTACATGTTCTTTTCTTTTTTTAAAATATTTTATTAGTTGTTGATAGGCCTTTATTATATGTGGTGCTGAGAATTGAACCCAGTGTCTCACACATGCTAGGCAAGCACTCTGCCACTGAGCCACAACCCTAGCTCTACATGTTCTTTTCTGTTTAAGTAGAAGCATTAATTTTATGCAGGGAAGCAGAGGATCCTCCAGTATAACAAGGAACAACTCTTGGAAGTTTCAGAAAGTTATTTTTTGGCAAAATTTTAGTTCCTAGTATTAGGTATCATTTTGAACTATTACCTTTCTAAAAGATGATTATTAACCTCTTCAGTTTCTTTTCATTCCACAAATATTCGGGAGCTCATTATTTGCAAATCTTAAGATTTCTGTTAACAGAAAATGAAATTGATACTCATACACAGGAAGTCTTCTAGTAAAGGACTTGGAACAATTTCTAAGTGTCAGGTAGCAGTACAGTCAGGGTATATAGGAAGTACTAATTAAAAAGTTCTCTCTCGATTACTTTTTCACTTGTTCTTCTTATACATCTCTTTTCCTTTTGAGACAGGGTCTCACTGTGTTGCTCACACTTGTCTGGAATCTGGGGCTCAAGTGATTCTCCTGCCTCAGCTTCCTGATTGTTGGGAGTACAGGTTGGCACCATGCCAGGCTTTAGTTTACTTATATTAATCTGGCCAGGGTTACTAGTATGTCACCTGTCACATAGTAGGTTTTTTTGTTTGTTTTGGATACCAGGTGCTTAACCACTGAGTGACAATCCTAGCCCTTTTTATTTTGACACAGGTTTCACAAATTTGCTTTGGGCCTCACTAAATTGCTGAGGATGACTTTGAATTTGCAGTCCTCCTGCCTCAGCTTCTGAGCTGCTGGAACCACTGTTCTTAAATGTTTATTGAATGGGTGAGTTTTAGACTGGTATTGAGTAGGGGAGATTTTGAAATTGACTGGAATAGGAAATAACATTGATCATTCTGCCAAGCAGTACGTTAAAATGTTGAATGATCTTAGACCCTGGGAAATGTGTTCTTGGACCCCCTGGCCTGCTCCTGAAATGCTTTAGAGTAGGTTTATGTTAAAAGAATAATTATTGAAGCAAATATACAAATATGAATGAATTGTAGAGAAATTATGAATCTTGAAGCTGTGTACACACCCATAGGCATTCGAGGATCTCAGTTTGAAAATTACAGAGTCAAAGGTAGTTTGGTTTAGGAGTTAAAGCAGCCATCACTAGATCTTGGGCTACAACTGGCCTGGTTGGCACTAGCTGAGTTCCTTAGTGTCTTTGGGCCTTGGATTCCTTTGTGTGTGTGTGTGTGTGTGTGTGTGTGTGTGTATTCAGAGACTATATAAAACTAGATTTAAAAAAAATTTTAAAATATCTTCATTTTATTAATTTATTTTTATGAGGTGCTGAGGATTGAACCCAGTGCTTCACATGTGCCAGGCAAGCGCTGTGCCACTGAGCTACAACCCTAGCTCATAGATCTTCTCTCTTGAAGAATCCTTTCTGCTTTGAAAATTTCCAACTCAGTTAATCCTATAACCACTAAGCACTTGTCTTATTCCTGTATTGTGTTAGGGGCTATAACTATTGATGGACTAAACTCTTGATGGATAGGGATTAGTTTCAGTTATTTTTGTCCCTCCCAGTCTCAGCATATGCATGATATACACATTGTAAATAAAAATATTAGCCTGGATTTAGAATGGGCATTTTTGTCTTCTCAATAACAATACAGAACTAAACTGCGTGTAAGTGCAGCAGGAGCTCAGAGGAGGGAAGGATCTGGGAAAGCTTTGAGGAGCTAAGACCATGATGGGGCAGGGTGTGTGAATATCTGGGTTCTACACCAGGAGCAGAGGCCCAGAGGCTGCTGAGTGAGTGGATTTTGGGTTATGGAATGCCTTGAAGGTGAAGGCAGAAGTGTTTGGAACTGATTTGTTAGGCAATGGTTTTGTCTTGAAAATTACCTTAGGCAAGCTCAAAAGCTTCTTGAACATTCTTTAATATTGATGGTAATATTTAAGAATGGAGTGGATCATTCAGTTTGCTTTATTTTTGCTTTTGGATTTAGCAATTCCTTTTAAATATTTTCCACTCATAGTAAATTTTGGTGCTAATAATGAAAAGGACACTGGATATCTGGATTTGGGAAGCCTGGATTTTCATTTATGAGAATGTCAGCTATCCAGGCTGGATCAAGAGAGTGCCTACAATGGTGCCTGGCATATAGTAATCACTCAGGTATAAGTGCACAGTGTTGAAGGACTCTCCATTTTCTACTGCTAGAAGTACTCGCTTTGGCATGGCTGTATGGCTGTAAGCATGGATGAATTTTTTCTTTCTTTTTTTTTTTTTTGGTATGGGGGATTAAACCCAGAGGTGTTTAACCACTGAGCCACATCCCCATCTCTTTTTATATTTTATTTAGAAACAGGACCTTGCTGAGTGCGTAGGGCCTTATTAAGTTGCTGAGACTAGGTTTGAATTCATGATCCTCCTGTCTCAGCCTCCTGAGCTGCTGGGATTATAGGCATGTGCCATCGCACCTGGCATGGTTGAATTTTTAAAGGCTTTTTCTGGTTTTAAAATTCTGTAATTTTGGAGGGTGTGTAATTTAACTTTAATTATATTATAATTTTCCTGAAAAGTAAAATAAGACAAAAAGCCAAGATTATAATCTTTATTGAAAGCCCTATGTAACGTGATTTACGTCTGTGTAAATGAAGATCTCAGCAGGAAACAGAATTAATGCCAGAATGTTTAAATGAGGAGGCTTTAATAAAGAGACTACTCACAGAGGTGTGGGAAGGGTTAGGAAAAGAAGTGAAGCTCAAAGAGAAACCAACAATTGGAAGGGACAGAAGGAGAAAGTAGAGCCCACTGAGAGCTAGTGATGTGCGGGTAGGTATGGCTATTGACCGAACATGGTGCTGGGGGCTGGGGCGGGGCAGCACTGAAATGTACCAGCCTTGAAATTGGTCCCCTTCAGAAATCCAAAGCCCAAACCTCCCACTCTTTGCTTATAGTGTTATCTTTTTATCTTTCATGTTCCCATCTCTGTTGTACTTTACCTCTTTAGGAGGTTCCGTGATCTTCAGTCACTTTCATTGCCCACATGCTCAGTTGTTTCATTGTCCTTGTATATAGCAATAGTCTGGCAAGTTCTCAGCCCTGCATGATCTCAGCTCTTTATCTTCTGTTATGTTTGGGTCTTGGTTGTTAGAACCAGTTGGGCAAATCATTGTATCTAGATTTGTGTCCCTATAAATCCTTGGTCCCCAGTCTCAAGTGGGCATCAAGGAATCTTTCTAGAGTTGTTCTTATCAGCACCTTTTTCCAATCTCCATAGAATTTAATTTTAGGATTTTTTTTTACACTTTTCAAACCTCTTATCCATTTACATCATCTACTCTCTTAGCACATGTTCTTGCCACCTGTTTCAAAAATAATAATGGAGCTGTCAGAGTAGAATCCCATGGTCTTTCTGTCAAAAACATCCCTTCTTCAGTTACAGGGAAAGAAATTGTATTTACTTTTAGACGACGATCCCTATACCTGGACTCTGGATATTTTCTGCTCTTGCCTTTGTGAGGACTTCAGTTAGCTCTTCAGTCTTGCTAAAGGCCCCTTCCATTTGGCTTTTACACAGGCTTAGAGATAGCAACAATAAAGGAAACCAGAAAAACAACTACAATAAAAAAAGTAGAATTCTCTCTTGGTTTCACATTCCTCTGTTAAAATTTAATTCTTCCCTTCCCAGTCAAATTTTTTGAAATAGCTACTTCTTACCTAGCCCACTGCTGTCTGGTTTTGTACCCATGACTCTGCTAAAGGTTATTGATGACCTCCTGGTTATAAAATTTTGTTCCTATTGGTTCCCCAGTGTAGTGCCTGGGTCATAGCAAGTGCTTAATAAGTATTTGTTATGACTGAACAAATTTGAGGATATTTACTTCCCATAGATCTAATTTTTATTTGTATCTCTATTTTTCTGAGGTATATAGGAGTCTAACACTGTCAACTTTTGAAGTTCAGGGTGACTATTCTCGGTGTATATACTAAATCTTCTCAATGAACTAAGCAAAGGTAGAAATGAATTTTATTTGGTAATGTCTCTCCAGTCTTGTCCAGGTGATTTATCTTTTTGGGGTAGGGGAGAACCAAGCTGGATTTTTTTTTCCCCTGAAAAAGCACATTTTTCTAAAATATCAGGAATTAATGTTTTGTTTATATAGATCTAATAAAAGGGGAATGTCAGGAATTGGGTTCAATTGGCAATATGTATATATTTTGAATAAATTTAATGCTATGCTTTTATTTGAAACTATCCTTCATTCCTTCTTCTAAAAGTAGTGTGTGTTTGGGATTTTTTTTTTTTTTTTTTTTTTTTTTTTTGGGGGGGGGAGTGTACGTGTGGAGGGGGATAGATTTCAACTGGCCTATTTCATTTTTGATATGTCATCATCAGTGTCATGGCATTAGAGGACAGCCATCTTTAGACCTCAGCTTTTGGCTATGCAATGTAATGAAGGTTATTGCTCTCTAGGAAGAGGCTTAACTGCTGAGGCAGAGGACCTAAGCAACTCTTCTGATTAGGATGGAATCCATACTTTTTTTATGAGAATAGCTGACTAAGCCAGTATTTAATTTTCTGGGGGCACTGAGGGCTCATTTTTATCAGCCTTATCATGGAAAGTTTTTATTTCACCTTTAAATCTGAAGCTTAATTTTGGTGGACATAAAATTCTTGGTTGGCATCCATTTTCTTTCAGAGCGTGGTATTTTGTTCTAGGGTCTCCTATCTTGGAGGGTTTAGGTTGAGAAATCAGCTGAGATACGAATTGTTTTTCCCCTAAGTATAATCTGATACTTTTCTTTCGTAGCCTTTAAAATTGCTGTATGCTAGGCATTTTCAGTATAATGTGTCTTGGTGTGAGTCTGTTCTAATTTTGTCCTGTAAGCCTCTTATATTTGATTTTATATTTTGTTCCGGTACTGCTTTCTCTTCAATTTTTAACTTGGTTTATTGTTTTCTTCGTTTTGAGGATTTCTACTTTTTTTTTTTTTGGTCAGAATCTCTGCCTCTTTATTGAAGGGATCTTTCCCTTCCTGCATTTTCTCATCCTTTACTTCACAGATCAGTTTAACTATGTACATTCTGAGCTCCTTCTCTGACATTTCTTCTGCTTTGGTGTTGATGGATTCTGTTATTGGAGTATCTTGGTTTGTTTGGAGTAATTTGTTCCCTTGCTTTTTCAGGTTGTTTGTGTGTCTACCCATCTAACAGTATTAATCTGAGGCAGTAGACTTATAGTGTCCCTGAAGGTTTCCAGTACTTCACTTGCGAAGGATCAGGGTTTCTCGATTTCATGCCATGGAGCAGCTAGGTAAGCGACCCCCTCTATTCTGCCATCTGAAAAGCCCAGGCTTATCCTATATTTTATCTTGTCTCCAATGTTCCTTCTTGGTCACCTAAAGCACATTCTCTTTCCCTTAATCTGTACCTCTAAACATTGTTGGAGGAGGTCAGATTTTTTTCCTCATCTATAAATAAATACATTAATTATTACAATGGCTATAATAGATAAAATAGACATACTTATTAAGTTCCATTTAATATATCATTTAAATTACTAGATTTCTCCCAAGGGATTAAAATATAAACACCTGTGCTTTCAATTATTTTTTGTTTGTAGACATAAAGAAGGAAAAGAGGTCTAAAGAGGGCCAGGAAAGCAGGATGCATTATTTCTTGTTAGTTCACCCTTTTTCTGTAAACATCCCTTCTGAGATCATGAGTCTTCTTAGGAGGATCTTTTATGAAATACTGTTTGGACCCCCTGGATTCTTCCAGGTTCATTCATGATTGGTTTTGTTAACCATGACTTTTGCATTGGAGCAGGAAGAAAAAGGATTAATTTAGAAAACTGGACCACAGAGGTTCATGACCTTGATTCTGAAACTTGCCTCACCCTGTAAAATTTGTGGTAATGCTGATGTAACTTGACCCTACTCAGGAAGAGTGGAGTCTTGAGTTTACAGAGTACTAAAGAAAGGAAAAGCATTCCTTTGAACCCTTTTCTCAATATTTCTGGGAGATTCCTTTGAGTCTAGCTCAGCCTAGTGGTGACAAATCTATTCTACAGGAGACTGGGTGTGCCTCAAGGACGACATGAGTTCTATAATTCTGTTTTGTCATGGGTGTCCTGAGAGCCTAGCTGAGTCTAATTTTGTGTTGAAAGTCAATAGGCAGCTCTATAACCAGATCTTTCTGGGATTGGCTGCTACCAAAATGGCTTTGGGAAGGGTAATGCTACTTAGTGCTTTTTAAACATGGTTGTGAACACAGAGAGTTAGAGTGGAGCTAGGGTCTGAGATTCAACTCACATTTCTGGTTTGTTCCCTGGTGATGCTGATATTGCTAGTATGAATAGCATGTTGGGGGATAGGGTAGAGTAGGTGGACTTGAAGGGTTTTTTGAGTGTCTTTTAGGGGAAATGTTCCCATTTGTATGGCCTAATCTATTAAGGGCTTTAACATGATGAGAGACTTTTTTTGGCCTACTTATTGAAGTTTCTCCAATTCTTTTTTCTTTTCTTTTTTTTTTTTTTTTAAGAGGGAGGGAGGGAGGGAGGGAGAGAGAGAGAGAGAGAATTTTAATATTTATCTTTTAGTTATGGGCGGACACAACATCTTTGTTTTGTATGTGGTGCTGAGGATCGAACCCGGGCCCGCACGCATGCCAGGCAAGCGCACTACCGCTTGAGCCACATCCCCAGCCCCTCTCCAATTCTTAAGTGAATCAGAACTTATATTTTCCCTGTAGCTGAGCCTTGCTTCTTCTTTTTTTCAGATTTCACCTCTGTTACATAAATCATCAGAACTCTTCTATACTAAATAGTAAAAAATATTGCTTTTATGGTTCTAAAACTCTTTGTTGCTTGTGGTTTCATTTTCTGATTTTTTTCTTAATATTATTGCCACTAATTAATTTGTTTGAAGTTTTGTAAAGAAAGAACAATTTACTGTCTTTAATTCTACCAGTAAATACTTTGGAAAATTAAGATTATGTCAATGCAACATGGGAAAATCATAAAATTTTATGGCTTCTATTGCAGAAACATTTTCAGTTCATCTTCGTGGGCTTGGTTAAATGAAGAAGTGGATGGATTGAAAATAAGATAAATCTATGAAGAAAATTCAGTTATTTAGGTATACATTATAAAAAAAGTCACCTTTTGTCTTTCTTTAGTGAAATGCTTTAATAATGGTAATTTTCTCTTTTGACCTGTGATGGATAGGAGGTTAATTGATGTTAAATGGATGCTTTGTTAATCCTTCATCAGCTACTAAATTGGTACAGGGGAACAGGTCAAGACTACACAAGGCCATGACCAGCTTGTTTTCTCAGAGGTTTATGGTTCCACCCCTCCCCCGCTCCTTCAAACCACACACCATTCCAGCAGTACATAGAGGAGACTCTCCTTTGTCCCCCTCCCCCTCCTCTTCCTCCCATCCCCTTATCCCTTCCTCCCTCCCTTTCTACCTTTCTGCTTCTGCCGAGTGACAGCTTGTAGATGTTGCGTGCGAGGCAGTTCAGCTGGCGCTGTGTGGTCTGAGTGTGTGGTCTCCATCTCAGCCGAGAGGTTGCTAACAGGGTGGATGAGAGAGAGCAATACTGTTTACTTTAATTTATTTCGGATGCCGGAATTGTGCCCAGGGTTTCTTCTAAGCTTGATTCCACAGCTAGCAGCTTCAATCCCTCACAGCTGTGGTGCAGTCTGAACTCTAGGCTGGCCTCTCCCGACAGGCACTTTCCATAGCATCTGCCTGTTTAATCCCTTGTGGTTCAGAAATGTTAATGGCACTGCTGAGTGCTGTGATTATTTTGCTTTCACTATGTCAAGATATATGGCCTTGCAGAAATTTCTTTTGAGATAGAACTAGAGAAATAAAGCAGAAATTGTAAGATAAGTGACAAAGTTTTGATGTATTTTTAGAAATTGTGAAAGCTATTATACAGAATTTGGATCAAATTAATCCAACTGTGCTCATGTAAAAGAATCTTGGAATTAGGTGACATCTGTCATTTTGAACAATTTAAATGAAATTAACCAATTTAAGCTGACAGCTGATTTCTTGACCTTTTTGGAAAATCCACATTGATTTTGGCATGCCCGTTTACTGTAGTTATTATATTTGTCAGCAGTGATATTGGTTTACTTCATCATAAAGATTTGGCAAGTTGAGACAAATGAACTTTGTTTTTATGTCATAATATAAATTTAGGACAGAATCTTTTTTTTAAAAAAATTCTTTCATTATGAATAGCTTAGTAATATTTTCATGATTTTCTTCCTTTCTCATTCCTGAACATTTTCGTTGAGATTGTCAAATATTTTGTTATTTGAATAAACATCGTTAGACTTTTAATATCAGTTGGGATTTGCCACTGTTTAGCTTCTTCACTTCTTTTTCTTCCAGGGTAGTCTTGCTGGAGTTGTGTTATTGATGCCTTGTCCAGAGAGTGCTAGAAAATCTGGGCTACTAACATCTTGATCTTCCAAAGGAGTCAATATATATATAACTAGTACTTCTGCTGCTTTTATTGTTTTGTTTTGTTATCTTTAGTCCTAAATTTCAAACATGAACTCAGTTCCATCTAGGAGAGGGTAAAGCCTTCTCTGTCTTTGCCTTTCTTAGTATTGGCCGAGATTTTCCTTTGTTTTATCTGACTTGGAATTTAGTAGTGTTGAATACTTTTTTTTTTTAATGCTATCATCTCATATTTCTTTTTTTTTTTTAAATTGAGGGGGTTGTATCTTTGGTGGTAACAATGTTAATCTAATGCTCACAAGAATTTTGAAACACTGTATATCCACAAAATTATGCAGCTATCATCTCTGTCTTAATTTCAGGACATTTCATTACTCCCACAGAAAACCCTGAACTCATTATCGATCCTTTTATATTCATCCTCCCTCCAGACAACCCTGATCTACTTTTTGTGTCTATGATTTTATTTATTCTGAACTTTCATTTAAGTGGAATTATAAAATATGTGCCTTTTATGTCAGTTATGGCAAAATGAAGTCATTACCCTATGATATTTACCTAAGAAGTAAAGATTCTCTTTCTATAAACAGAAAATATTGATAAATGATGGTTATAGTTAAATAATCATAAATAGAAATGATTTATTGTATTTGCATTTTGTATTGTATTTGTATTTATTGTACTTGTATTTTGGAAACTTGGAAGTGTGAAATGTTCTAGGCTTTGATAGAAGTGATAGAAATGACATGCACTTTAGGGGTAGCATAGTTGGTACCTGTTCCTAGCCTTTTCTGAGTTGACCAATGTCAGTGCTAATTGGTTGCATAAAATGTGATGTAGAACTAAACTAATAAAATCTGATTGAGCTGAATCCCTCTATTTCTACCTTACCCATTATTGGGTTGAATTCTCCAGGAATGAAGAATAAGCCTGAAAAGGATCAGGCTTTTGCTTATTGGGAACTTAACTGTTTTCCAGGGCAACTGATTCTCATGGAAATGTAGAGAAACTGTAGAACCACAGCAGATGGACAGCATTGTAAATGATAACATTTTCAAGTACATTTCTGTTGAAGACAAATTTATCTTCGAATAAAAAAAATAAAAACACCCTCTGAACATTTTATTATTTAAAACTGAAAATCAAGAATCTTTTTATATGTTCTTACCACTGACTTTTCCTCTTTTATATATGGATGTTTTAAATTTAAAAAGCAAACTAAACAGTTTTGGCTTAGTTCTTATAGGGATAAAGAATGGTTAAAAATAAATCTATAGAAAGATTTATGAAGGGGTAAAATTAATTGTAGTTTAAACATTTAAAATTTTTCCATGTTACAAGAAATACATATTGCCTCAAAGATCTACAACTATCAATTAGAATTTCTGATTTTTAGGTAATTTTGTACAGAAGTATTAATAGATTATTAATCTTTTCACCTTTTGGACCTTACCATTAAAGATCACATTTGAGCTTGAACCATTTTCACCCAAAGATGGTACATAGAAAAGGGATTATTCTGTTCAGATCTTTGTGGTTAATTTGGATTCATCTAATTCTTTTCTGTGGCATGTTCTGTATTGAGAATCAAGAGAAGCTGTCATGGTATATTTTAGAATGTAATTAGGGTATTCCCAGTTTCTGTGATAGTTTTGATGATAACTATTACGGCACAGATTTATTGGTTTAAGAAACTGTATGGGACATAGTACAGAATCAAGGAATAACATCTGTCCTGAAGGAGAAGAAATCTAGCTGACATCCCTTTGAAAGGCCATATCTCATGTTTTCTCATAGCTGGGCTTTCACATGGCCTTTGAGGTTTGTAGTTTTGTTATTGAGGAATCTAAAGAAGAGTCAAACTAGAGAGTTGATGTGTTCTGAGATCTGTGTAGCTCAACCACTAATTTACTGAGTGTCTGGCCCTGTGCTAGATGTTAGAGAAGCACACATAGGATGAGAGTCCTAGACATACCCACTGAGGATGACTTTGTCAAGGAGCTTGACACAGTAATTCTTTTTGTCACCCACCCACCTGTTTCTTTAATGTAGGGGATATTGTAGTTGTTATAATCCCTTTCTTAGATAATTAACTTGTAGGAGAAAGGAACAAGTCCAAAAACAAATAAGCAAGCAAACAAAAAACCATTATGAGGCAGAACTGCCAAGAGGAGTCATCATGTGGTCAGTGTTCCTAAGGAAGCTGTCTATTCACTGCCTTATACCCCCTTCCAGAAGGGCTGCTCCACATGGTGCTCTGGGATTAGAATTTTCTGTGCAGTATATAACCTATCTACATTTCTAAAAATTATATTCATTTCTAAAAATACTAAAATTTCTAAAAATTACATCCGTGCTGTTGACTCAGGGAAAACAGTACTTTTAGAAATTTATCTAAACACATTTTTTCCCTGATGCCTCTACCCTTTTACAGTCTTATTGTCTCAATGTTAGCCCCTTCTTAATGTTACACATCCTTCTCATCCTTTCTCTGTATTCATCAGGCATATATATTTGTATAATTTTTTTTTTTTAAATAGCATTGGTTGTATCCTGCTTCTAACACATCAACTAATTTTTTTGAGACTATGGAAAAAATGAACTTGGGCTGACTACAGAGTCCTTTGTAGACATACAAAACAAAATATTTGTGGAAGAAATGTGTTTGGAGTTTGCTTTAAAGTACCTTTTCAAAAATATGAAAAGGACTTGACGAGATGGGGTGGTTGAAATAGACGTAATGCTAAAAGCTGGTTGATGTAAACATGGAAGTTCACTATGCTAATCTTTCTTGTTGTTAAGTTTATGATTTCCATAATAGAAAGTTAAAAAAAAAAATCACTGGGAAAATCAGATCAGAATAGAACTAGAGCCTGACTTTGAATTGCAACTCTACTACTTATTAACTGTGAATTTGTTTACTTGTTTTTGTTTTGTTTTATTTTTGAGATGGCGTCTTGCTGAGTTGTCTAAGCTGGCCCCGAACTCCTGGGCTCAAGACATCTTGCTGCCTAGCCTCCTCAGTAGCTAAGCTAGAGGTGCATGCCATTACATCTCACTACCAGTTTCTTTCTTTCTTTCTTTCTTTTTTTCCCTTTTAGTTGTAAATAGACATAATAACTATTGATTTATTTTTTTATGTGTTGCTGAGGATCAAACCTAGTGCTGCACGCGTGCTAGGCAAGCGCTCTACCACTGAGCCACAACCCCAGCCCCACGCTGTTTCCAAGCTGTGTCCAAGCTGTTTAAGTGATTAATAAAATCACTTACCATTTTAGAATATTTCCTTCCAGAAGCTTCTACCTATTTCTTTGTGTCTCTATTGCCTTTCTCTCTCCTCTCCCCTCCCTCCCTCCTCTCTCTCTCTCTCTCTCTCTCTCCCTATATTATCCAACTGTCAACATTTGTGTCTTTTTTTCCCCCTAAGTTGTTATAAGTATTTTTTGGTCTTGCATATGTTTTTAATAACATTTCACTTACTGCATTAGTATTTCCTTGATTGGACCTTCACATTTTACCTACTTCATTTTCTAGTTGTTTTGGATGCCTCTCACCACTTGTTATAGAAAATTTCTATATCTGTTGGGATTCTTCATGCCTGATAATCACCAGGCTTGGGTTATTTGAATCATTGTTCACCTTTCAGGAATATGTGTCTTTGAAACATATTGGCAAATTCTTATTTTTCAGTGTTAGAATGATTTGTAACATAGAAACGCTACATAGATTCAGCAGACAGACATGATTGTCTTAAATATCTTGTGTTAATAGACAATATGGAATCTCAGTTTTTGTGTGTTTCTCTGATATTGATTTCTTTCACGTTTGCTTATTCCTTGCCTCTCCTTGATTGTGAATTGTCTACCCTGCCTTCTCTGTTTCTTTTCTTTTAGGGCCTTATATTTTTATTGAACTTTGTGAGGTGTCTATGTCTACTCATATTTTGTGATATTGAATATTTTCTCAAACTTCCTTTTTGCTTTTCAATTTTGGTTGTCTCTCTTTAAGTAACCTAAAGAAGATGTGCTTCTCTGTCCTCCTACTCTGAAAGCTGTAATATACATTTACTTTATGTTTGTCTAGGTCTTTTGGTTTAATTAAAATTATATTTGACTTTCAAATAACTAGAAATTCTTTAATTCTATGGATTTTTGGAGTAATTTGTGTTAGTCAGCTTTTCATTGCTGTGACAAAGTACATGAGGAGAAAAACAAAACAAGAAAAGATTTATTTTGGTCCATAGTTTCAGAGATTTTAGTCTATGGTTACATGGCCCCATTGTTGAAGGCTTGTGGTGAGGTAGAACATCATGGTGAGGAGGATGTGGTAGAGCAAAACTGCTCACTTTCTAGCAGTCAGGAAGCAGAGCTGGGGGTGGTGGGGAAGGAAGATGAAAGTGCTGGGAACAAAATAAACTCTTCAAAGGCATACCCCCAGGAGTTTCTTTCCTCTAACTCCAAAAGTTTCCATCACTTCCCAGTAGCACCACCAGCTGGGAACCAAGCCTTCAACACACTGTCTTTTGGGGGGCATTCCAGATCCAAACTATATCAGCAAGCAAGAAAATTATGCTTTTGACTATAACTGAAACATTTTGGGGATTGAGGTTAATATACAGAAAATAAGATGCTAAGAAAATAAAGCATTTGTTTGTTTGGAATGAAGTTATACTTAATTTTGGCTATACTGTGTCTAATAGTAAAAAAAAAAAAAGTGTTTCGAATTTTCCCATCATATGATGAAATGCCTTACTGTAGCTTTAAGGTACTTTGCCCATTTGATGCAGAGCCCATATACCAGATTCTTTGGAGATAATGGTGATTTCTTATGGTTGCTATGTTGGTTCCAGCCTCTTCTGCCCTGCTTCTTAATCAGGGTATGTGGCAAGAGTTCCATGTTTATTCTTGGCCTAAAATATTTTTTGTTTTAAGCCAGATTAAAACCATCTTGCTATATAGCCGTTCTTATCCAGCCTTCCAGAATGAAAGTACATTTAATGATTTATCTAGTTCCTGAGTGTACTTATAGTTAGCTTTTGATACATGACTAATACTAGTACTGTATGATCTCAGTATACCTCTGAAGTTAGTTGTTATTCCTATTTTCAGATGAGAAAATTGATAAGAGATTAAAGGGCCCTGATTATGTTGTATAGATAGGATTTGAATTTATGTCTTCTGACTCCAAAGTAAATGTTTCTTGCATCTCTTCAGAACTGAATAAGTTGGTTTGTGTGGCCAAAGTGGGGTGTTGGTGATACAAGTGTTCTTTACCTCATGTAAGCCATCTGATTTTGCAGTGATTAAAAAACTTGGTAGTGTTCTTAATGCCAGTTAGTATCTCTCACTTATGCTTTATGGTCCCACTGAAGAGCTGATCAGGGAGGTGGTAACTACACTTCTGAAAAACTTCCTTTGTGGTGCCCTACTTCCTTTTTTTTTTTCTCTCCAGTCCTAGGAATTGAACTCAAGCTTCAAGCATGCCAGTGCCAGGCAAATACTTTACACATGAAGGACAACATGAAGAGAGGGTGTGTGTGTGTGTGTGTGTAAGTGTGTGTGTGTTTGTGTTTATAAGCTCACCTGCTGAAGCCAAATTGCCAGGTGGGAATCCTGCTCTGCCAGAATTAGTAATGGAATAATAGGCAAAGTATTTAATGTGCCATTCTCATAGAGGAATTGTGAGGATTAAAAGTTATCACATGGGGCCCGGCGCCATGGTACATGCTTGTAATCCCAGAGGTTTAAGAGGCTGAGACAGGAGGATTACAATTTCAAAGCCAGCCTCAGCAAAAAGTGAGACACTAAACAACTCAGTGAGACCCGGTCTCTAAATAAAATATAAAAAATAGGACTGGGGATGTGACTCAGCGGTTGATTGCCCCTGAGTTCAATCCCTGGTACCCCCCAAAAAAGATATCACATGGTGAGACCATAGAAACATGTATGGATATAATAATGATTCAATAAGTAATATTGCTTTTATTATTGATTGGTGTCGAAGATTGGTTATCTGTTGATTAATGGCCACTTGTATCCTTCACTTAATATTTGTATTGTTTCTTTTTATCAATTGAAAATAACATTTTTCTGTTTCTTTGGCTTGGTGCTGGGGATTGAACCCAGGGCCTTGCATATGGTAAGTGCTCAACCACTGAACTATACCTACAGTCAGAAAAATGTTGTAAATAAAGGCATGAGCCCTGTTTATTCCTAAATGCATACCTCAAATTGTAACTCTGCAGTACACATGAAAACTTTAGCCTACTGAATAAGGAATTAAGATAACCAAAAAGTGTAGTGTGAGGATTTGGAGAATCACCATGAAAACATGTGCAGAGTCCCAAATTTCAGAAGTAATGGGTAATGTGATGCTAGGTTTTCTTCTTGTACTCTGGAAAAATGAGGGGTCAGGTATGCTGGATCTTCCTATCTGTGTTCTGTCATTAATCTGCCTTGGATAAATGACTATTTTGGCTTAAACTAGGATGTATTGATCAGGTTATAGCTCTCACAGCCTAGTCATTTTACATTCTTGTGAGAAAACTCTTGGCTATGAGCCCCTGTAAATATCAAAAAGAAGTTAACATACATCTAATCTATAATAGGGTGATAGGAAGAAGGGAGGGGCCAAAAGCAATACCAAAACACAGCTTGCAAACACTTCCTATAACTCTGCATACTGCATCTAGGACACATGGCTGTGAGGTGTTATTTCCAAAGCGGTGGGGAAGTCCTGTCCATTTGACCTTGCTGGTTGTAGCTCACGTGGCCTTTCTTTTAATCTGACACTCTCCACAGCCAACAGTTTTCCTTGGCAGACTGTCCACATTACTGGCATCCATAAATTCTCCATTCCACCTTTGGCTTCATCTTCACATATTCATGCATCACCCTCCCAGGGGCAGCCTGAAGAAACTCTAATGCTGCTACACTTTGCCTGGCCTCCTAGGCTGCTTTCCTTTGAAATCTTATTGGAAGTCTTCATGACCCCTTAATTTGAGCATCCTACATTCCTGCAAAACAAGCACCACCTGGATAATGCCAAGGTCTGCTGCCAGCTTGCCAGTATCTGGGTCCCCTGGAATCATAGCTGCAAGTGGCCTCAGAGTGCCTATGTTGCTCAGCATGGTGGAACAACTTCTTAGGCTTCCTTGTGCTAACAGGACACCTTGTAATCTCTTCTCTAAGGAATTTTCTCTTCTGTACCCTGAAGCCTGCAGTGGGTGTGGTCTTGTAAATACCTGAGAAGCCCTCCATTCTCTCTGTGCAAAATACTTAGCATCTTTTTAGGGATTGTTATCTCTTCAACAAGCACACCTTCCTTGGCCTCAGCTTTACATGCACTTTTCTGGCCAAACTGCAAGTTTAAAAAATATTTTAGCTCTGCTTTTTTGCTTCCAATTCTCACAGTAATCCTGGTTAAAAGCTTAAGCAATATCCACTCCACTGATGGAAAGCTGTGCTATCTTGGTATATCTTCTGCCAGATTAATTAGTGTCTTACTTTTAGATTCACCCACACACAAAATCTGAGGACACAGGCAAAATGTGGCCAGATTATTTGCCAGAATGCAACATGTGTGGTCTCATTTCCCTCAGAAGCCTCATAAACACAGTCTATTCCTATTGGTATTCTGGTGTTCACCCATAATCTGTGCTCATTATTCTAAAGCTTCTAACCTACATTTCCAAACCTTTCAAAATTCCTCCTGCTAACCAGTTCAGAAAAATGACCCCATTCTCAGTACCAGTTTATAATTAGAGTTTTTATCACAGTAACCATAATACCCAACAAGAACAGTTTAAATGCGGAAGTTTATTTGGGGCTCACAGTTTTGGAGATCTCAGACCATAGAGGTCCTACTCCATTGCTCTGAATTCAAGGTGAGGCAGCATATTATGGAGAATGCGCCCACCAGAGGAAAGCTGCTCAGCTCATGGTGGGATCAGAAAGCAGAGGGCAGGGAAGGAGCCATGGGGAAGATGTACCTTTCCAGGGCATGCCCTTAGTGACTCACCTTCTCCAGCCATATTCCACCTGCCTATAGTTACCTCAGTCCATTTAAACTAGGATTAGGATACATTATCTCTCTCACAATCCATTCATTTCACATTCTTCCGTTGATACAGAAACTTCCAAAGAAACAATGCTATTACTGTGACCAGATCCCCCCCTAGAATAATTAAGGAATTAAGAATTTCTAAATATATTTAGCTTTTTTCCTGCTTCTTTCCCACATTCAACCTTGAGACTTTCTTTATTTCGTGGAATTGACTTTCAGACCCAGGAATGGCTGAACATTGAAGTCCATTTTAAATGTTGCTCTCATTTTCTAAATATGGATTTTGGATTAAGGAAGTTATAGGAAGTTACTCTTACCAGCTCTTAATACTCTTTGGTCATTTTTTGACATCACACCTCCCTGTTTGGAGTTGTAGAGGGCTAATGCAGATATTGGAGTGAAAGGGCATCACAGCCAGAGGCTGGCCCTCAGAGTCTGCTTGTTCTTATTTTAGACAGGGAAAAAAATGGTCAGATTTTATAGATTAGAGTCTGGTTGTGCAGGATCTCCAAGAGTTAAATTTGGGGATACAGGAAAGACAGACTGAGTCTCAAAAGAGAAGCACCCAAGAACCATTGGAATGCAGGAAACATCCATGAGTAATTGAAATGCAAAACAAGCATTCATGAGCAATATGAATAGCTATGCCCTTGGCCTGATCATTTAACCTGTGCCCTTGCCTGCAAAAAGTAACATGAAGGTGATAAGCAAGTGCAGCAAAAACTGGCAGGAAATTGTATAACTCCTCCCTGGCTCACCCTCTAGCCCAGCTCCGAGCAAATGTCCCTTTATAAATATTAATAACCCACACCAAGGGGTTGCTTTCTTTCCCTCTGGAGATGGCCTTCGTTCTCCCTTGAATGTGTATTCCTTGCTTTACTCCCAAACCTTCTCACTCAAGATGGCTGGCATTCTCAGTTAAGTCTGTATTTCTTCATGTATTCTGATAAATGTCTCTCCCTTGAGATAATCCACATTCTCCTTTGAATGTTTATTTGCTTTCTTAAATAAATCAGTGGCTTTGACTGGTGTGTGCTGAACTTCTTTTCTTTTTTTTTGTCATGTATGCCTATGACCCTACTTGTTCTGGGTTGAGGCCCCCCTCTTTGGGAAGTCCTTCCGTGACATTCCTATGACCAAGGTAAACAAATAATTAAGGATGATCATCGTGGTGAGGCTGTGAGTTTAAGAGGGAGTGGAGTCTTTCTGGGCATATACTGAAATCTGGGCCCTGCTCTTTACTCTTGCCAATGGTAGTGTAGTCGCCCCAGAAGAGATAGTCTTATCCTAAACACCTAGATTTCTGGGCACATTGTAATCACTGGAGCACTGATTCATAACTAAAGGTGACTCCTGTTCCTTCAGAATGAGGTCATTTGGAATTGTCTGGAGATAGTTTTCATCATCACATTTGGAGGGGAGCTGCTAGCACTTGGTGAGTTGAGGGTAGGTATGTTGTTTAGCATTTTGCAATGCACAGGAGGATAGTATCCATCACAAAGAGTGGTCTGATCCAAACTCTGTGTTTTGGGCAGCTTTTTCTCCATTGTGACCAAAAGACCTGCGAAGAACAATTTTAGTAAGAAAAGTTTATTTGGCACTTAGTTTCAGAGTTCTTAGTCTATAGATGGCTGATTTCCTTGCTCTGGGCCTGAGTTGAGGCAGAGGGTATGATGAAGGAAAGCAACTCAGGACATGACAATCAGGAGAAAGAGAGCTCTTCTCACCGAGGATAAAATATATACCCCAAAGGCACACCCCCAGTGACCCACCTCCTCTAGCCACATCCTACCTGCCTATAGGTACTGCTCAGTTAATGTCTCTTCGTGGATGAATGCACTGATTAAGTTAAGCTCTCATAACTATGATTTCACCTGTAAATTTTCTTGCATTGTCTCACATGAACTTTTGGAAGACAACTAATATCTAAACTATAACACTGTGACTAGCGCAACAGTGGAGAACCCCAACCTTGGAGGAGGTTAACAAGAAGTTTGGGATTCTTCCTGACTTCAGCGAGGCTTAGATGAAGCTAGGAGCTTCTGGGCACCTCATGATTCCTCCATATGATTCCTGTTTTGTAGGAATGCTCAAGAACTGAATTGAACAAGATAAAACAGGAGGGTTAATGAAAACAGTGATCATCTAGAAGCAGTGCAGCAGTTTAGAAGCAACAAATAAGAAGGAAAAGACAATAGATGTACACGAGGCTGGCACCCTGACCTAATAAGAATCTGACATCAAGTCAGATATTAGTCTGATGTCAAGTGACTATAAAAAGCATGTCCATAAAACTCTGTAGTCTGAAGCAATAACCCAGAAACATACTCAGAACAGTCATCAGTGATCATGATAATTGCCATGAGTGAATTTTTTAAAGATAAATTTTGTTCCATATACTACTAGGAAGGCAAATATACATTAGAAAGGTCCCTGCCTCTACAAAACATTACAAGGCATACTAAAAGACTAAAAACACAGTTTGAAGAAATAGATCTAGGATTAGAACCACACGTAAATGTAGCAGGGATGTGAGAATTAGTAATGTAGGAATTTCAAACCACTCTGATTATGTGGAAAAATATAATGGGAAAAATACAAAGGGCTCTAATGGAAAAATTCAGATAACAGATAAGTAATATAAGTAGATGAGTGAAAACTTTAAGAAAAGAATAAATATAGTAGAAATAAAATCACAGAAATGAAGAATGCCTTTGATGGTCATTAAATTTGAAGGAGAAATAAAGACTTCCCCTAATGGGGGGGGTGGAAAGTTAAAATGATAAAAGTTTAGAGGAAAAGGAAATGATATAGGTCAGAAACTTGTTCCACATAAAGAGTAGTAGAGAAGGAATAAGAGACAGGACTTCTTGATTCTTTCCCTTGAGGTACTGGCACTATGCCCACTACCCAGAACCCCATCAACAATGCTAAATAATAAAGACACAGAGTATAATGCATTTTGACTATAAAAAAAATAAATTAGAACTTTTTTTTTTTTTTGACACACACTCAGCAGTGGGATACCATAGTGGGCATAGTGAGTTCTGTGGCTTATTCAAGGAAGAAATCTATCCCAAAGACTGGGCAAAATTGTAAATTAGCAATGAAAATATGATGAATGCTATCTTCTCCTCTGCTTTAAGATGTTAGTAGTGTATCTTGTTGTGTCTTATGTAAGAAGATATCTTGTAGTATTGTGATGCCAGTTTTCAAATTATTTTGAGAATAATCCTTCAAAATTATAAAGGAATTATTTCAATTATAAACATTATAAATTCTTTAAAACCCCCAAATTATTGTATTTTCACACTAAAAAATGAGAAGACTACTAAAAAATGAGAAGGTTTAATTTACCTTATTGATAAATATTAATTTCTAAATCCCACATAAACAAGAAGTCCTTTGGGGTTTCCTTCCTTTCTTTTTGAAAATTTTTTGTTTTTAAACCAAAAAGCACAGCACATGGCAGAGCAAATGGCTTATAAATGGCCCAAGAAACAAAAAAGAGGAAGATACTAGGGTCTCACAATCCCCCTTTGAGGTTACGTCCTCAGTGCCCTAAGGTTCTCTCATTGGACTGCATCTTTTAAAGGTCCACAGCACCTCCTAGTAGCACCACTCTGAGGACCTAGCCTTTATCACATGGGAGTTTGGGGGACATTTAACATTCAAACTGTAGAAGATGCTAGCCTGAACATAAAAATTGAAGACTTTGGTATCAATAGTCTGTTTACTTATGCAAAAAAGCTTTTATTTATTTTTATTGATTCTTTTTTTTTTAAATACGCGATGACAGTGGAATGCATTACAATCCTTATTACACATATAGAGCACAATTTTTCATATCTCTGTATATAAAGTATGTTCACGTTAATTTATGCCATTATACGTGTACTTTTTTTTTGCATTACAATTCTTAAAACACATATATACCACAATTTTTCATATCTCTGTTTGTATATAAGGTATATTGACACCCAATTCAAGTCTTCATACATGTACTTTGTATAATGATGACTGTCACATTCCACCATCCTTGCTAATCCCCTTCCCCCTCCCTTTCCCTCCTACCCCTCTTCCCTGTCTAGAATTAATCTAATCCTCCCATGCTCTCCCTTCCTACCCCACTATGAGTCAGAGAAAACATTGGCATTTGTTTTTTTGGGATTGGCTGACTTCACTTAGCATTATCTTCTCCAGCGCCATCCATTTACCTGCAAATGTCATGATTTTGTTCTTTTTTAATGCTGAGTAATATTCCATTGTGTATAAATGCACGTTTTTTTTTTTTTTTTATCCATTCACCCACTGAAGGACATCTTGGTTGGCTCCACAGTTTAGCTATTGTGAGTTATGCTGCTATAAACATTGATGTGGCTGTGTCCCTGTAGTATGCTGTTTTTAAGTCCTTTGGGTATAGTCCGAGAAGAGGAATAGCTTGGTCGAATGATGGTTCCATTCCCAGATTTCCAAGGAATCTCCATACTGCTTTCCAAATTGGCTGTATCAATTTGCAGTCCCACCAGAAATGTATGAAGTGTCCTTTTCCCCCACATCCTCGGCAGCACTTTTTGTTTGTCTTCATAAGAGCTGCCATTCTGACTGGAGTGAGATGATATCTTAGAGTAATTTTGATTAGCATTTCTCTGATTGCTAGAGATGATGAGCATTTTTTCATATATTTGTTGATTGATTGACTATCCTCTTCTGAGAACTGTCTGTTCAGGTCCTTGGCCCATTTATTGATTGGGTTAGTTGTTTTTTTGGTGCTTAGCTTCTTGAGTTCTTTATATATCCTAGAGATTAGTGCTCTATCTGATGTGTGAGAAGTACAAATTTGCTCCCAGAATATAGGCTCTCTGTTCACCTCACAGATTGTTTCTTTTGCTGAGAAAAAAAATCTTTTTAGTTTGAATCCATCCCATTTATTGATTCTTGTTTTTAATTCTTGTGCTATAGGGGTCTTATTAAGGAAGTCGGGGCCTAATCCCACATGATGAAGATTAGGGCCTACTTTTTCTTCTATTAGACACAGAGTCTCTGGTTCAATTCCTAGGTCCATGATCCATTTTGAGTTAAGTTTTGTGCATGGTGAGAGATAGGAGTTCAATTTCATTTTGTTGCATATGGATTTCTAATTTTCTCAGCACCATTTGTTGAAGATGCTATCTTTTCTCCAGTGCATGTTTTTGGCACTTTTGTCTAATATAAGATAATTGTAATTTTGTGGGTTAGTCTTTGTGTTCTCTGTTCTGTACCATTGGTCTACTGGCCTGTTTTGGTGCCAATGCCATGCTGTATTTGTTACTATTGCTCTGTAGTATAGTTTAAGGTCTGGCATAGCGAAACTACCTGCTTCGCTCTTCCTGCTTAGAATTGCTTTAGCTATTCTGGGTCTCTTATTTTTCTAGATGAATTTCATGTTTGCTTTTTCTATTTTTATGAGGAATGCCATTGGGATTTTGATTGGAATTGCATTAAACCTGTATAGTGCTTTTGGTAGTATGGTCATTTTGATAATATTAATTCTGCCAATCCATGAGCAAGGTAGATCTTTCTATCTTCTATGGTCTTTGAATTCTCTCTTTAGGGTTCTGTAGTTTTCATTGTATAGATCTTTCACCTCTTTTGTTAGTTGATTCCCAAATATCTTATTTTTTTGAGGATATTGTGAATGGGGTAGTTTTCCTCATTTCCTTCTCAGAGGATTTGTCACTGATATACAGAAATGCCTTTGATTTATGGGTGTTGATTTTGTATCCTGCTACTTTGCTGAATTCATTTACTAGTTCTAGACGTTTTTTGGTGGCGTTTTTTGGGTCTTCTAGGTATAGAATCATATCGTCAGCAAATAATTCTAGTTTAAGTTCTTCTTTTCCTATACTTATTCCTTTAATTTCTTTTGTCTGTCTAATTGCTCTGGCCAGTGTTTCAAGAACTATGTTGAATAGAAGTGGTGGAAGAGGGCATCCCTGTCTTGTTGCAGATTTTAGAGGGAATGCCTTCAATTTTTCTCCCTTTAGAATGATGTTGGCCCGAGGCTTAGCATAGATAGCCTTTACAGTATGGAGATATGTTCCTGTTATCCCTAGTTTTTCTAGTGTTTTGAACATAAAGGGGTGCTGTATTTTGTCAAATGCTTTTTCTGCATCTATTGAGATGATAATATGATTTTTATCTTTAAGTCTATTGATGTGATGAATTACATTTATTGATTAAATCACCGAATGTTGAACCAACCTTACATCCCTGGGATGAATCCCACTTTATTATGGTGCACAATCTTTTTGATATGCTTTTGTATTCGATTTGCCAGAATTTTATTGAGGATTTTTGCATCTATGTTCATTAGAGATATTGGTCTGAAGTTTTCTTTCTTTGAAGTGTCTTTGTCTGGTTTTGGAATCAGTGTGATATTGGCCTTATAGAATGAGTTTGGAAGTACTCCCTCTTTTTCTATTTCCTGAAATAAATTGAAGAGTATTGGTATTAGTTCTTGCAAACAAGCTTTTATGGCAGCCCTCTTTATGCTACTCCAGAATTATTAAAGGTCCAAAAGTACAATGGCTTTATGGTAGATGTGGAGAGCCTAGGAGTCATCACTGGATACTGCCTTTTAATGGGTAGAACATTGCATAAACAGGTGTAAGAGGATTACTTTTTATGTGTCTGTGGAATTCCTAATCTTTAACACCAGTGAGAGAGGCACTTTATTTATTTGGTTCTGGAGTTTGAATCTAGGGTGCTTTATCACTGAGATACATCATTAATGTTTTTATTTTTTGTGCTATGGTCTCCACTAAGTTGCCAGGGCTGTCCTTGAACTTGTACTTTTCTGCTTCAGCCTCCTGAGTTGCTAGGATTCCAGGCATGCTCTATCATGCCCAGCTCGAGAGATGCACTTTAGGGGAAATCCTGAGGGACCTATGGGCAAATATGGGCCATAAAGTAGAACTAAAGCTTTACATCAATTCACTTCCTGACTACCATGACCTCCAGCCTGACTGAGTTGATGCTGTGCATGGGCTATGAATGGAATGAGATTCAGGACTCATTTGTGGGCCAGGAATAAGATGAAGCCGGCTGTCAACTTTGGGACTGTGACACCTCAGCTGGAGTGGCCCACCACACCATGAAGCAACTGCCTTCTGCTGATCTTCAAAATTACTGCTGTCCTTCTTTACATTCAAGGTAGACCGTACAGTCTCTGTAGCCCTAAGCAACAAGCCTGCCATCCCTACCTTTATTTGGTTCTATAATAGGAAATTAGCATCTTTGGGAGGACTGGGAGTTAGGGTGGGAGGTCAACACCACAGACTTCCTGATAGTCCCTTCTTTGATCTAGAGATGAAGACTACCCAACCCCAGCAGTCTCCCAGCCCTGTGATTGTCCCTTCCACTCATAGCACCCTCAGCAGTGTTGGAGCCTCTGGTAATACCAGTTGTGCTCAAGGTTTATCTTTCAAAAGAAACCTCTTCCCTGCTGGACAACTCTGATCAGGACCAGTAGAACTTTCTGGAAGGTATGCCTCTAACTTTTTCCTCTCACAGCAATGACTAGCAGGGGGCCACCTTCATCCACAGACACTTTAGTAGTGAAGAAAAGCTCAATAGGTTTGGTATATAAAGATTCATTATTTCATTATTTCCTAAGGGTAAAGAGCACTATAAACTTCAGGAGATGTTTATAAGGACAAAGGGCTAATATTCTTATGAGAGACCTTAAACATCAACAAACATAAGCTTCATAAAAAGAGGCGAAGACCATGAAGGTAGAATTCGCGCACTTAAAATGCAGAATGAACCCATTTATTTTACCCATGACATTACTGTATATAAAATGAATTGTGCTGATGGGAGGTTGTGTTGTTAGAGCTTTCTACATGCCAGTTTGGTGGTAGTCAAATTTTAAATGTGTATCTTTAGTTCTCTTTGAATTTAATGCAAGGAAATAGTTGGGAAAATGGACAAAAATATTTTGTACAAAAATGTTCATTGTTTTGTGTTATTGTAGGAAAAAAATTGAAAATCATCTAAATGTCAGTTGTAGAATAAGTGATCATATAATAAAAAACCAAGTAGCCATGAAAATGACGTAAATTTGTGTTTTAACAACATGGAAGTATGCCCATTATCTATTTACGTGTAAAAATCAGGTTGTAATGTGTATGTCTAGTATGGTATAATTTTTTTTTTTTTTTTTTTTTTTTAATAAGAGAACACAATGTGTGTCCTGATTTGAAGAAGACAGTACTGGGTATAAGCCAAAAAAGATCAAAAAGGGCCTAGTTATGAGTGATGCTTTTAATTCTCCTCATACTATATAGAATTTTCATTAAGTTTATGCAATGGAAAACTATCCTTTTTATACCCAGAGTGGGAACAGTGAAGTTTTTTTGTAAGAGAGGCAGTAGAAGACAGGTGAGAACTGCCAGGGAGGCCCCCTTTGGTAGCTCTACACCAAAGGGGCCTGTAGGTAGGCGGAACCCAGTGCATGCTCTGCTAGAGGCAGGAGGGAGGGCGGGCAAGTGGGTGCACCTGGGGAACCGGAAAAGGGTGCAGCCGTAGGCGTCTCTCTTTGGAAAGCGCAGTGGCTACTCTCTTCACCCGGCAGCATGAAGTTTCGTGCCAAGATCACCAACAAGGGCTTTATAGAGCTCTTCATTCAGGTCAGTGGCACCATAGCAAAGCTGGCAAAGGTCTGCGTGCTCCGTGTGTGCCAAGACAAACTGTGCTTTGGTCCTACAGGCCCCAGGGCCACCCGAGAGGCCAGGCTGTGGTGCAAAGTGATGCGGGGAGCCTCCTTCTACCAGTTTAACATGGAAGGTGTTTCTGAAGAGCTCAATGAGATTTATCTAGAGCTGATATCAGAGCATTTGTACAGAGCTGTGAGAAGTGCAGGAAATGCTGCCTCCCTGAAAATCCAGCTGACCAACAAGCGTCGCCCCTGCCTCACAGTGGCGGTAGAGCTGGCATCACGCACTGGGCACACCCATGTGATGGTCCATGATCTACCTGTGAGGGTGCTTCCCAGAAGATGGTGGAAAGAGTACCCAGAGCCCAGTATTCAAGTCTCTGATGTGAGTGTTTATCTGCCAGCTTTGAAGACCCTGAAGAGCATTGTGGAAAGGATGGCCAACATGGGCGATAACGTGCTGGTGGAAGCAAATCTAAATGGTAAAATGAACTTGAGTATAGAAACTGATGTAGTATCTATTAAAAGTTATTTTAAAAATCTTGGAAATCCTTTAAAGTCTGCTCATAGCGTGCCCCAAGACAGAGACCCGGAGAGCATGGTGCAAGTGCGGGTAGAGAATAGGAAACTTCTGCAGTTTTTTGAGGGACAGCAGATAAATCCCACAACGGCCTTATGCAATATTTTGAGCAATACTCTTCTTCATCTTGTTTTGGTTCATGAAGATGTCTCTCTTCAGTATTTCATTCCTGCCTTATAAAAAATTCAACCAGCCTGGATTAAAAACAACAACAAAATCACAAAATTTAGGATCTCTTCATAATTGAAATAGACCTTGAGTTAATTCAATTGAGTCTGTACCCTCAGTGGATTATGAGGGTATATGTTTCATTGAGAGCTTCCTTTGCAAAATTGATATTAAAGACAATCATTGGTGAAATAGATGGAAAAGGGATTGTAACAAAATAAATGGAAATACCTCTAAATCCTAAAACAATTTTGTCATTATTATAAAATACTAATATGAAGAATGGTATTTTTCTCTTTTTAAAATAAAATAAACATTTTCTGAAAGACTTTGCTTAATCCAGAGAAGTCAGTATATTTAAAAATAAGGGTATTCATCCAGCATTTGTGTACATCACGTTCTTTGTAAGAAACTGTATTTTGTTAAAGGAGATATTAGTGTACAGTTGGCCCTTGAATGGTAACTGTGTGGGTCCACTTATATGCAGATTTTTTTTGTGTGTAGATTTGCAGCAATTTGAAAAATTCATAGAGGAGGTGCTTAGCCTAGAAATATATTAAAAAATGAGGAAGAAAATGTCACAAATACATAAAATATATGTAGATAAGTCTTTTATCTTTTAGCACCATAAAATATCCATGAATCTATTAGTTACAATGAATGAAAACTTACACGCATAAATACCATACATGGTCCCATTTGTAGTTGATAGAAATATAAAGCTGAAGTATTACAACTGTATAAAATCAACTCTAGTATATTTTGTATTACTGTAAATTTCATTTTAATCTCCTTTTTCTATTGGGAAGCTCAGAGTTATACACAGATTTTGTAGGGGTTGGCGCTCATCAGGGGTTGGCACTAATAACCCCCATATTGGTTAAATAGTCAACTGTATGTTATTTTTGGATGTATGATCTATATAGTTTGAATTGCTTTTTATTAGGTTTATTTTTCATATGTATTGTATTCATATAATGAATCAAGGAAATAGTTAAGTTTATGTGAACCAAGATGTTGCTTATATAACTTTTGGATAAACCAAGTTTCCATTTGCTCCCCCATAGTAATGAGCTCCACTTAGGAAATAATTCTTCATCCTTCATTATTTTGAGAAAAAGGAGAGGAGATTTAAAAGGTTGGTATATTGATGGAATAATATCACATAATTGGTCATATTCTTTTATATTAAATTTTAGTTTAATTTTTTTAGTAGCTTGCTCAGTAAGATCCTGTGTACCTTGGAAGTCTTTATTTTTGCATACTCAGTAAATTCCTGACTATATTTTAATCAGAAATGAATATTTACACATTAGTTTTGGTGGTAAGACAGTTAAATTTGTTTTGCTGGTTCCATCTGTGTTGTTATGGAAGGAACACAAACATTGGACCTAGTCAAGTCAATTGAGCCCATTAATGTCTAAGCTGTGAAAAAATTGTTAAAAAGCCACTAAAAAAATCCTCTTCTCTTATCAGAATTTTCATATACTTTAAACATGAAAGTGAAAAACAAATGTTTTAACATAGAAAATTCTAAGCTCTGAAGTTTTTTTTTCTGTTCTGTACCATAAACAGGACTTGCATTTATTTGTGGCATCTCTTCTTTCTTTTCTTGTTTTGGAGTGTTCAAGCTTTAGTTGTCATCTTTTATTTGACTGTTTCATCCTCTCTCCCCTCTGTTTTTCCATTAGACTGTCAGTCTCTCTTTCTGTTTCTTCCTTTTTATGTATTTAAAGAAACTGAGGGAAATGAGAAATCTCATGGTTTGTGAAGTTTAATTTGGTGAATTTTTATAATTTAGTAATTCATGAACAGAAAGTGTCTGTCAAAAGTTTTATAGCCTAGTCTATGCAGTGGAACTTTTGAAAAAGGGAAGGATAAGTTTTTTTTCAACTTGGGTTATTTACTAAGCTAGAGATAATTTGGTTATTTACTAAGCTAGATTATGGAAATAGCAAAAGGCCATCTAAATAGCTCTTGAAAGTTCACATCATTCTAATGGTAGTCAAAAAATTTTATAAATTATAAATTTAAAATAACAATGTTCTTATAGGTTTTTAATTTGTGAAAAGCTAAGAAGGGTTCATTTCCATATATATACATTAGTTATTGAGTTTAAATGCTTAATTCTATAAGACTCTATTAGAAACAGAAACCGAAAGATGCCTTAGAGATGATATCATCCAATCACCTTATTTGTAGTTGAGGAAACAGTTTCACAGAACATCTAAGTGACCAGGGGCGTTTGGCTAAGCCAAGATCTATTTTAGAAACCAGTCTCCAAACTCTTCATAGATCTTTATGTTTTGAGCTTATTCTATCAAGCCTTAAACAGTTTGGAAGTACTTATATTAAGATGAATCTATAGTACTTTGTGAATGTACCACTTACCTAAAAAGGCAAAATTACATTAAAACAATCTCAAATGTTTTTTGAAGAGTGTTGCCATATTGCTTTTGTTTGATGGTGTCTTTGTTTTTTCAGGGAGGAATGAAATTATTTGCCACAAAATGATACTTCTAGGTGGGTGCAGTGGTGCACGCATGTAATCTCAGTGGCTTGGGAAGCTGAGGCAGGAGGATTGCAAGTTCAAAGCCAGCCTCAGCAACTTCGTGAGGCCTTAAGCAATTTAGGGAGACCCTATCTCAAAAAATAAAATGGGTGGGGGATGTGGCTCAGTGGTTAAGCACCTCTGGGTCCAATCCCTGGTACCAAAAGAGAGAGTAAAAGATACTTATACAGAAAACAAGTCTCATATTAAAAAAAAAAAAAAAAAACCCAAGGCATCAGGTTTATAAATTATTTCAGCTTCTCTCATTTGTATCTTTCAGGGAGACACTACTACTGAGAAGCAAGGAAACACTGTGTCTTTTATGTTTCACTCTTATCTACAGAAAATAAATCATTGACAAAATGTATTAAAGTTCTTCTTTATATCCCAAAGTGGACATCTCAATATAAATATTATTGTCCTAGTAGATATCATTTGCTAAAAGCTGTAGTAAGCTTATCTACATAACAGACTTGTATTTCTTTTAATCGTTCTTGAGTGTATGTTTAGTATATGAATAGGTTACCAATATCAAAAGAAATCAGACAAGTGTCTGTTAGCTGATTCATTCCTATAAGGATGCTCCTAGTTCTGTTTATTCCAATTCAGGTCAGACAGTTGAAAAATACTTGGTAAATTAACATGATTCTCTTATGAGAGCAATAACAAATTATTTATTTGTGATTTTAATAAAAACATTACATTTAATAAAAACATTACCTCGAGTGTAGTATATTTTTAACTGGAAGAGTGTTGAGAAATCTCTATTATTAATTCCACAAATAAAAGTGCATACTTCGGCAGGCAGTGGCTACAACAGTATAAAAAAGCATATTCTTGTATTTCTAAATTAAATAGCTTACTGGTCTTCCTTAAAGTGTGATTTGTCCTTGGTTAAGGAAATAGGTGGTAAGGAAATAGATATTATTTTTGCATATGAACAGCTAGATTTTTACCTGCCTCCTGGTTTGTGTGTCTGGTATAGACCTATACTCTTCAAAGTAGATCACACTTTTTGAATCGTCACTCTCAGACATTATTATCATCATCATTATTATTTTCCCAGGTATTACTTTATTTTATTTGGATAAACTTTGAGGGTAAAGTAGTTAGGAATATGACCCTTGATAAATGACTGCAAATGGATTTTGAAAATTGAGAGTGAATTAGAAATGCTCTGTTAGTTTTTAGTTTTGCCTTGAGACCAGAGGTATTCTAATTTCACATCAGAATGAGCCAGAGCCACAGATTACTGAGAAACAGCCAAAGTTCTTATCTCATTTGTCATATATACAAAGGACCTCATGGTACACAAGGTAGTATAGAAGAGTGATATTAGACTCTTTGAATCAGGAAACCAAGGTCTGTTTTAAAGCTAATAAAGTGTGTGACTTTGTAAAGGTCATTTGACATCTCTGAGTTACATTTTCTTCAGATGACAAGACTAAATATTAATTGGATCAAGTCTCTTTCGACTCTGATTGTGTGCATACTAGCCTATACTCTTCTGTTAATCAAAACTGTCATTTTCAAAGATTGTTGTTAGTCTGATATTTCTAGTAATCACTAGTAATCATCTTTTCTATAATATTAATGTCACTGGAAATTATTGATAGTTGTCATACTACTGTTTCTCTGGAAACAAGGGGAACAGAGAATTTCTATTTGAAAATTTGGTTCTTTATATGGATTTCCAGTTTTCCCAGCACCATTTGTTGAAGATGCTATCCTCCCTCCATTGCATGCTTTTAGCTTCTTTATCAAATATAAGATAGTTGTAGCTTTGTGGATTAGTCTCTGTGTCCTCTATTCTGTACCATTGGTCCACCCTCCTGTTTTGGTACCAGTACCATGCTGTTTTTGTTACTGTTGCTCTGTAATATAGTTTTAAGTCTGGTATTGCTATACCGCCTGATTCGCACTTCCTGCTTAGAATTGCTCTTGCTATTCTGGGTCTTTTATTTTTCCATATGAATTTCATGATTGCTTTATCCATTTCTACAAGAAATGCCGTTGGGATTTTGATTGGCATTGCATTAAACCTATAGAGAACTTTTGGTAATATCGCCATTTTGATGATGTTAGTTCTGCCTATCCATGAACAGGGTATATTTTTCCATCTTCTAAGATCTTCTTCTACTTCTGTTTTTAGGGTTTTGTAGTTTTCATTGTATAAATCTTTCACCTCTTTTGTTAGGTTGATTCCCAAGTATTTTATTTTTTTTGAGGATATTGCGAATGGAGTGTTTTTCCTCATTTCCGTTTCAGAAGTTTTGTCGCTGATATACAGAAATGCCTTTGATTTATGCGTGTTGATTTTATATCCTGCCACTTTGCTGAATCCCCTCCTCTCGCCATGCACAAAAGTTAACTCAAAGTGGATCAAGGAGCTAGATATCAAATCAGAGACTCTGCGTCTGATAGAAGAAAAAGTTGGCGCCGATCTACATATTGTAGGGTCGGGCTCCAAATTCCTTAATAGGACACCCATAGCACAAAAGTTGATAACAAGAATCAACAAATGGGACTTACTTAAACTGAAAAGTTTTCTCTCAGCAAGAGAAACAATAAGAGAGGTAAATAGGGAGCCTACATCATGGGAACAAATTTTTACTCCTCACACTTCAGATAGAACCCTAATATCCAGAGTATACAAAGAACTCAAAAAATTAAACAATAAGAAAACAAATAACCCAATCAACAAATGGGCCAAAGACCTGAACAGACACTTCTCAGAGGAGGACATACAATCAATCAACAAGTACATGAAAAAATGCTCACCATCTCTAGCAGTCAGAGAAATGCAAATCAAAACCACCCTAAGATACCATCTCACTCCAGTAAGATTGGCAGTCATTATGAAGTCAAACAACAACAAGTGCTGGCGAGGATGTGGGGAAAAGGGTACTCTTGTACATTGCTGGTGGGACTGCAAACTGGTGCGGCCAATCTGGAAAGCAGTATGGAGATTCCTGGGAAAGCTGGAAATGGAACCACCATTTGACCCAGCTATTGCCCTTCTTGGACTATTCCCTGAAGACCTTAAAAGAGCATACTACAGGGATACTGCTACATCGATGTTCATAGCAGCACAATTCACAATTGCTAGACTGTGGAACCAACCCAGATGCCCTTCAATAGATGAATGGATAAAAAAAATGTGGCATTTATACACCATGGAGTATTACGCAGCATTAAAAAATGACAAAATCATAGAATTTGCAGGGAAATGGATGGCACTAGAGCAGATTATGCTTAGTGAAGCTAGCCAATCCCTAAAAAACAAATACCAAATGTCTTCTTTGATATAATGAGAGCAACTAAGAACAGAGCAGGGAGGAAGAGCAGGAAGAAAAGATTAACATTAAACAGATACATGAGGTGGGATGGAAAGGGAGAGAAAAGGGAAATTGCATGGTAATGGAGGAAGTCCCTCATTGTTATACAAAATTACATATAAGAGGTTGTGAGGGGAATGGGAAAATAAACAAGGAGAGAAATGAATTACAGTGGATGGGGTAGAGAGAGAAGATGGGAGGGGAGGGAGGGGGGATAGTAGAGGATAGGAAAGGTAACAGAATACAACAGTTACTAATAGGGCATTATGTAAAAATGTGGATGTGTAACCGATGTGATTCTGCAATCTGTATTTGGGGTAAAATTGGGAGTTCATAACCAACTTGAATCTAATGTATGAAATATGATGTGTCAATAGCTTTATAATGTTTTGAACAACCAATAAAAAAAAAAAAAAGGATTCACCCTTCTCTTAGCAAAGGCATGAATAAAACAAGAACTTATAACTTTAAAAAAAAAAAAAAAAAAAAGAAAATTTGGTTCTTTATGTGAACTAGACCAGATACTGAAAGTAATCCACTGAAGCCACATGCTTACCCAATTTGTGTTGTGCAATTGAGGTCACAACTTAATAGTGCCAGCAAGATAATTAAATCACTACTCATTGAGGGCCTACTTTTCCATGGCAATTGAAGGAAGCATTTTCCTTTGTTCAGAGTTGGTTTGTAGGTATTAATTAATGAAGCAGGTTAATTATCCAACCTTTTCTTAGTATTTCCCTGCAGTTCTTGTAGTATCTTTGGGGCAACATAATGTCTATTTGTTTAAATGGTTGTTAGAACTTTGTGGCCAAATGTCTTTTCAGTTCCATGAAATTTTATTTTATTTTTTTTGTGCTGGGGATTGAACTCAGGTGCACTCAACCACTGAGCCACATCCCCAGCCTTATTTTGTATTTTATTTAGAAACAAGGTCTCAACTGAGTTGCTTAGTGCCTTGCTTTTTGCTGAGGCTGGCTTTGAACTCTCCATCCTCCTGTCTCGGCCTCCCGAGCCACTGGGATTACAGGCATCTGCCACCATGCCTGGCGAATTTTTTTAATATGTTACCTGAATTTCACATTTATCAATTTATAATAGTTCTCAGGCATGTACTCAAAACAAACTTTTCACTCTTCTCTGCATTTAGAAGCATGTTTAAAGGGTTAACAATAGAATGTCTCCTTAAAGGAATATTTATTTCTAAAGCTTTATGTAAGCTTAACTATTAAATCATCTAGTATGTCTATTATTTAAAATTAGTTTATTGAGCCAGGTACAGTGGCACATACCTGTAATCCCTGTGGCTTGGGAGGCTAAGGCAGGATAATCAGACATTCAAAGCCAGCCTCAGTAAAAGCAAGGCACCTTGCTGAGACCCTGTCTCAAATAATTACAAAATAGGGCTGGGGATGTAGCTCAGTGGCCAAGTGCTCCTGAGTTCGATCCCTGGTACCACCCCGCAAAAAGTTTCATTTATTGATTGCTTGTGCATTTTGCTGTTATCAAATGTTAAAAATAAATTTTGTCTTATGATTTCTGATTAATAGTTGGATTTCTGTGTTGATTTATAGAATATTAAAATGTGATATATTTATGTTTCAAAAGAATACCAAAGAATAATTTTTGGTAACTTTTTATTTTTATGTAACTTAAGAATTAAAGAAAACTTTTGGGAATATTAAAAGTAACTAACTCCTGTAAACTCTTTAATGTTGGTAAATAACCCTTGAAAACCCTTTAATCAGAACCTGTTACAGTTTAGATATGCAGTGTTCCCTAAAAGCTCATGTGTGAGAGAATTTTCAGAGATGAAATGATTAGAATATAAGAGGTTTATCCACTGATAAGGATTAATTGGGCAGTACCTGTTGTCATGTAGGGTCTGGCTGGAGGAAGTAGAACACTGGGGCTGTGCCTTTGTGTTTTAGATTTTGTCCTTGGGTGAGTGCAATTTCCTGCCATGGTTGCCATGTTCTGAGCTGCTTTCCTCGACTATACCTTTCCTCTCTCTACTATATCCTTCCTCCCTGATGTTCTGCCTCACCTCAGACTCAGGGTCATGGGGTTGACAGACTGGTTGACTGAACCAGCCAAAATAAACTTTTTCTCCTCTACATTGATCTTGTTGGGTGTTTTGTTTATAGCAATTCAAAAGCTGACTAAAACACCCATCAGTTGTTTAGTTTTTGTCCTGTTGGCTTTATTCCATCCATCTATCTGTGTGTTTTTTTTCCCGAAGCATTTGAGAATGAGGTGTGCACATCTCTTCTTCATTCTGAATACTTTAGTATGTACTTATTAAAAACAGCAGGACTGGGGATGTGGCTTAGTGTCAGAGCATATGCCTAACATTCGTGATACTGTAGGTTTGATCACCAGCACAGCAAAAATAATTAAATATATTTAAAAAGAACAATAGTACATATTACTAAGCATAGTTATTAAACTTTTAATAGATTGTAATCTATTGTTATTAATTTTTTTGATGCTCAAATAATCTCATACTTGGACAGTAGGAGGAGGTCTTTCAGTCTAGCTCCTATATTCTTTTGACATATCTCCATTATTCCTTGAGTACTTCCTTACTGGGTCAAGAAAATATTTCATGCTTAACTTGTATACATCCTGCCTTACCCCTCAGATGAACTATTTATCCATGGTTCCTTTTAGAGAACTATGGTGATTAAAAGGTAGATACACTCATTACTCTTGTATTATTGCTGCTTATTTCTCTCAGTGTATAGTTGGAAATAAGTCCTCCCCCACATCTACCAAATCTATTGGTTTATAGTAGGGGAAGGAGAATCTACTCACCCCCAACCACTCCTGGTTCTTATGTGGGCTCTTTGGTTGGATTAACCAAATTAACACAATAATTTATTAACAAGAGAAAAGCACACTAGTTTTATTAATTTTACATGTACAAGAGAGTGAAGTCAAAATAAATGACCAATTGACCAATTGATGTTTATTTGCATTTTAGATGCAGAACAATAAATTTGTGAAGAAGTTATAAGACAAATAAATATCTGGACTAGGGTAGTAAATTCTGGGGATGGTACTAAGAGGTATATGGGGGCTAGGGTAGAAGCTAGTGGAAGATAAATGTTACTTTGAAGAGTTTTTTTTTTAATATTTATTTTTAAGTTGTAGTTGGACACAATACCTTTATTTTATTTATTTATTTTTATGTTGTGTTGAGGATGGAACTCGGGGCCTCATATGTGCTAGGCAAGCACTCTACCGATGAACCACAACCCCAGCCTGAAGAGGCATCCTTTCTTTGTTGTGGGTCTAAGGAGGAAAGCATTTCACCATTAAGTATGATTTTTCCCGTGTTCAGTCTCCTTCCAATTGTTTTTATTGGATTGAGGAGATACCATCCAATCCTAGTTGAAGATTTGTGTGTGTGTGTGTGTGTGTGTGTATGTACACAAGAGGTGCTCAACCACTAAGCCACATCTCCTACCCTTTTTTATTTTCAGACAGGATCTCGCTAAGTTGTTTAGGGCCTTGCAAGTTGCTGAGGCTGGCTTTGAAATTGTGATCCTCCTGCCTCAGCCTCCAGAGCTGCTGGGATTTCAGACAGGCATGTGCCACTGTACCCTGTGAGGATTTTTAATCATGAATGGGTGTTGGGTTTTGTGAAAGGCTTCTTTTACCGCTGTTTAGATAAGCATATAATCTTTTTGCTTTTAATGTGGTGACTTACAGTGATTCATTTCTGAAAGCTGAAACTGTCCTTTCATGACTGGGAAAAACCTGTTTTATGAAATAATTTATGTAGGTTTATTATTCTTCCTTAAATGTTGGTTAGAATTCATCAGTGAAACCATCTGGTTTTCTTTGTAAGACAGTTTTGATGATGAATTCAATTTGTTTAGTAAATATGAAGTTACTGAGATTTTCTATTTCATTTTGTTTGATTATCATGACTTGTCCTTTCAAGGAATTTTTTAGTTCATCTAAAAATTATTGTGAAATTCATTGGTATAAAGTTGTTCATAATATTCCTTTATTTTTCTTTAAATGTCTTTTATATCTGTAGTTATCCCTGATTTCATTCTGACATTGGTGATTATCTTGTTTTTTTTTTTTTTAAAGAGTTTTGCTAGAACTTACCAATTGTATTAATTTTTGGTGATTAACTTTGGACTTTAATTTTTTTCTCTATTCCTTTTTATTTTATTGATTTCCACTCTATATTATTTTCTGTTTCTGCTTCCTTTTTCTGCTGTCCCCTACCCCCTTACTTTGGCTTTATTTCTAGTTTCTTTTAAAGAAGTTTTAAAACCACTTTTTTTTTTTTGGTGTCCCTCAAATTTTGATATATTTTTGGTATTCAGTTCAAAATAATTAAAACAAACAATTTTTTGTACTTGTAGATTGGACAGAATGCCTTAATTTTATTTGTTTATTTTTATGTGGTGCTGAGGATAGAACCCAGTGCCTCACTCATGCTAGACAAGTGCTCTGCCACTGAGCTACAGCACCAGCCCTCAAAATAATTTTTTTTTTCATTTTGAGTTCTTCTTTGACCATTATTTAGAAGTATGATGTTTAATTTGCAAATACTTAGATACTTTTTTAGATGTTATATCGATTTTTTAAAAAATTAAGTAATTAATTTTAATTAGATATATATAACAGCAGAATGAATTTTGATTCATTGTATACAATTGCAGCACAATTTTACATTTCTATGGTTGTACATGATGTAGTGTCACACCATATGTGCAGTCATACATGTACCTAGGATAATGATGGCCATCTCATTCCACTATCTTTCTTGCCCTCACTCACCTTCTGTCCCCTTTTTCCCCTTTGTCCAATCAAAGTTCCTCCATTTTCCCCATTCCTCCCCCCTCCCTGTTATAGATCAGCATTCACTTATCAGAAAGAACATTTGGCCTTTGGTGTTTTGGGATTGGCTTACTTTGCTTAGCATGATATTCTCCAACTCCAACCATTTACCTACATGTGCCATAATTTTATTCTCTTTTAATGATGAGTAATATTCCATTGTGTATATATGCCACAGTTTCTCTATTCCCTTCATCTATTGAAGGGCATCTAGGTTGCTTCCACAGTTTAGCTATTATGAATTGAGCTGCTATGAACACTGATGTGGTTGCATCACTATAGTATTTTAAGTCCTTTGGGTATAGAACGAGGAGTGGGATAGCTGGGTAAAATGGTGGTTCCAGTCCAAGTTTTCTAAGGAAT